CTATTATCAAATAAAGCAGCCAGAAAATTAATGCACTGGAAATGGCTATGACCGCAACCTTAGATATAAGCCAGCAGCAGCATCTTTCAGCAGGAGCTTCTTTTTGAACTGCTTATTGTACCCACAAAGCCTACCTAAGTATTTTAGTTCTTTTATGTAAAATTCCTTCCCATCTTTATAGAGTATTGCTTTAATTGTCTAGTTACTCTTTTCACAAACCCTTGCTGACCCCTGCTATGAGGGAGGCACTGAAAAAGGATGGTATATGGGATATTTAGGATATTTTTTATACATAAAGAAGAATGGGCCATTTAAAGACCTAATCAGTTGATTCTCCCCCTCAACTAGGTCTTTAAGTGGCCCATTCTTCTTTATGTATAACAAAAATACCCTAGGTCCCCCTTCTAGACAGGCTGCCTCTTGCCACATCCAATTTAAAGTGGCTCTTCATCCCAGAGCAGGGAAAGCTCTACTGCAGTGAGATGGCTCCATCAGCCTTTTCCCTCCCTGACCACAGAAGGTGAACCATTCTGGAAGGGTGTGTGTGTGTGTGTGTTCGTTCTCCCCAAACAAGAACACTCATCTGAATTCCAAATTATTGAAGAATTTCGTGTTTCAGGTAATCCCATACTCTGGTTAATTGAGAACTGCCACTTATATAAGTCATCAGGTCACAAGCAATGATGGCAAAAAGCCCTCAAGGTGCACACCCAAGATTTTAATGACAAAATAATACAGCTTTTTTGAACACTTGATATTTTGTTTATGTATATCATGACTAATAGTAATAGCTATAATTTATCACATTAGAAAAGCCATCAACAGTTCAAGCTATAAAAAATTAAATTAATTGAGTCCCTTTGTCATCCTAGCAGAAGTTAATTATTACATCATTATTAACTATGTAACCAATAACCAAAATGCTTTTTAGCTTTTTTTGGTTTAAGAAGATCTATTATAATACTAACGTCTAACATATACAAAGTGAAATAGAACAAAATTAGAAAAAAATGAAGTTAATATATTCAATCTGAATAATTCTGCAGAGAAAGCTACTCTCATTGGGAGAGCATTCACTCTGGACTAAGCACTGTCCTAGGTCTCTGCGTATTAGATTTGTTTAGCCTCACCACATCCATGGAGACATGTAGGTGACATCTTCATATGATAGATGAGGCACTAAGGCCTACAGGGGTGACGTAATGGCCCAGGAGCAAAGAACCATGGCCAAGATTCAAATCTAGGTCTGTCTCACTCCAAATCATCCATTTAAATCAATGAAAAACTGTGAAACAAAGACATTGTAGATGAGAACAGGAAACACTTTTAAGTTATACATTCAAACACTTGGAAAATAAAACATTCTTCTTAGAAACCATGTCTTAACTTTATGATTAAGAGTTTCCTGAAGGCCACCCCTATGTTCATTGCAGTATTATTCACAATAGCCAAGATATGGAAGCAACCCAAGTGCCCATCAATAGACAAGTGGATAAAAAAGTTGTGGTACATAGGTACAATGGAATATTACTGGGCCATAAAAAAGAATGAAATCTTAACATCTGCGACAAAGTGGATGGACCTAGACAGTATTATGCTATGTGAAATAAGTCAGTCAGAGAAAGATAAATACCATATGATTTCACTCACGTGCGGAATCTAAAGAACAAAGTAAATGAACAAACAAAATTGAAACAGACTCATAGATACAGAGAACAGACTGATGGTTACCAGAGGGGAAGGGGGTTGAGGGGCTGGGAGTAAAAGATGAGAAATTAAGAAGTACAAATGGTAATTACAATATAGTCAAGGGGATGTAAAGTACAGCAATAATATTCTAATAACTCTGTATGGTGCCAGGCGGGTACTAGGCTTATCGGGGAAACATTTTGTAAAATATATGATTGTCTAACCACTATGCTGTACACCTGAAACTAATACAAAATAATATTTCATGTAAACTATAATTGAAAAAAAATTAAATAAGAGTTTTCTGAAGGCTAAGCAAAACTGGTGTGTATCAAGAGTCTCAGATCACATTCCTCTTGGAGCCATCATTCTTCCATCTCTTCTTGGCCCAAAGAATGTTCCCAACAACAGGCCAGGGACAGAGAAGAATGAAGGAAATGAAAAGTCATTAACCACACTACGTGTCCTTAAGAGCAATTCTGATGTCATTTATCTCCACCTTCCAAGAATACTGGGATGGCTTTGCAGAGACAAGTGACAAATATTGTCCATTAAATCTATGAAGATGCTGGAAAATGTTACTGAGAAAGATTTGTGTTAAGCATTACTTTAACTCAAGCTAATGTTCTCTCCTGGCAAGTATGGCCAGTGTGAGGTGATATGAGGTTAGGACAGTCAAGTCTATGGTTGAATGGAGCTGAGCTCTGTTCTGAGCATGCACAAGTTAGATTATAGATCCTCAAAGGAAGATTTTCCAGATGGGTAGCAAGAGTCAAGCAAGTAGCCCCCAACTCTGGATTGGACCTATGTTCTTGGCTCGGTGTGACCACTTATTAGACCCTACAGGGTGGTCAGAAGCAGTGACACTTCCTGTTATACAGTTCTGAGGGAACTGAAAACCTGGTCAGGTACTAGAGAGAAACTTTGTTCTGACTTTCTCCCAGGGTGCCCCTATGTTATCTACCCTTTCACAAAAGAAGCAACCTTAAACCAAGTTATACAGAGTATTTGATTCATCTTCCTCTTCTTCCTCATCATTCTGATTCTTCCTTTGTGGCAGTCACATAATTGCCTTGGCCTTTCCCAGGCCAGTAGAGGAAAACTTCCCCAAAACGGCACAGTGGTGGTGGTGGCCAGCTGAATCTCCCTTTAACAAAGTCCTACATCATGGGGGAGAAATTAGCATGATGAGAGAAAAAGTGTTGCCTTTACTTACTCTGCTCCCTCCTCTGCCTAAACCTGTGCCTGAGGGAGGTTCCCCAAATTTGAGTGACAGAGCAACTGACCATCAGCTCATGTTCCCATATATTATCTCATCCTGCACCCAACTCGTGTATTTGTCAATAAAAGAAAAGTCTGTGACTGCTTATTATTTTGTAACACACTCTTATGAATGTTCTCCTACTGAAGATATATAATGACCTTATAGGAAAATTAGAAATTTGAAGACTGACTCTATATTTAATTATATTAAGGAAATATTAAACTTCTGTTTAGGAATGGGAATGGTACTGTGATAATCAGTTTTTTTTAAGTGTGTGTGTGTGTAAAAAATTATTTAGAGATTGAATTATATGATGCCTGGGATTGGCTTCAAAATAACATGAGCTGGGGGTGTTGCAGAAGGTAGGGGTGTGGGCAATACAGAATTGCCCTTGAGTTGATTATTGTTGAAGCTGGGTAATGGTTTTATTGTGCTCGGTTTTGTTTTGGTTTGGTTTGCCATATATCAGGATTTTTCTATAATAAAAAGCTTTTCAAAAGAGAATAGAAATTGGTAAAATTTACTTTACATTCACATTAGAAAATCATATTTTTCAAAAATACTTCAAAAATGTTAAATGGAATAGGAAGATCTAAAATTGTATATAAGATGTTTCATGTACATATATATTTACATATGCACATAAATAGAAGAAGAAACTACACAAAATGTGTATCCCTGCCTGGCAAGAATACATGTTATTTTTTTTTATTCATTGTTTTGTTTTGTTTCTGTACTTTTCAAATATTCTAAAAAGAAAAATGCTTATAATTTAATAAAATGTGTGCATGATGTGTGTGTGTATTTACCTAAAATAAACCACATTGTGGTGAAAAAGAAGGACTCGGTGTGATACCGCATTTCCTCCCCTTTCAGCCTATGTGCCTTTTGCAGGTCTCCCCACAGCGCTCTGCTGGGACAGAACATTGGGCAGTTCACAGCCTCTGAGGTTGTAGGCACCACTATGAGCGCTCAAGGAAGAATTTGCCATTTTCAGTGGAAAGCAAGTGGCAGTTATTAGCTATGATCACTATATACTTTGGATCTGGATTTGCGGCACCTTTCTTTATAGTGAAACACCAACTGTTTAAGAAATAAAGGTGTTTTAGTTGATACATAAAACAGATATGAAGAGGAGCATTTTAAGAGGAGCAATTTCTTTGAAAAATGGATCCAACTGTTGAACTTGACATACTAGATGTGTTTGTAAATAAACTCATGGCATAAAAATTTTTTTTAAAAAATAAGATAAACAGCATCATATTGTAAATGGTGATTATCTCTGGATGGCATCATTATTGGTCATTGTTATTTTTATTTCTTTTTCTCTGTGTATTTTCTTCCATTAATAAATATAATATGATCAGAAAAATATAGCATGAAATATTGTCTAGATTTATTGTACTTCTTTATAGGTAAAAGATTATATAAGGCAAAATAACATACAACTATTATAAACTATATATTATATATAGTCAAAATATATTATATATTAATATATATTATTATTAATATATATTAGAATTAAATGTTATAACTACATATCATAATACATATAATTTACTATTACTGTATAATAACTAATACCTGTAAGCAAAGTTCAAGAGAAATTTAAATTTTCTTTGAAAGTATATGGTAAACTTTTGCCTGGCCAGGTGTGGCTCAGTGGTTAAGCGTCGACCTAGGATCCAGGTGATCAGGGTTCGATTCCCGGTCAGGGCACATGCCTGGGTTGCGGGCTGCAGCCGATCAATGACTCTCTCATCATTGATGTTTCTATCTCCCTCTCCTTTCCTCTCTCTGAAATTAATAAAGATATATTTTTTAAAAAGAAAATATATGTTAAGTTTTAAACAATGGTGAAATAAAGGAATTCCAAGAGAATTGTAATTCCAAGGTAATTTTAAATTGTCACTGAAAGTATATGTTAAGCTTTTAAACAACATTGATATAAAATCCTTTGCACGGCCACCATTATGTATCAATGCTCTGGCCTTCATGTGCTCAATTCCTTAATAATCATGTTTCATTTTCTGTCTAATTCTAGGTATATCCATGCCAATACCAGTCTTCGGGCTACAGGATGATTCCAAGGTCTTTAAGGAAGGGAGTTGCTTACTTGCTGACGATAACTTTGTTCTGATAGGCTCCTTTGTGTCATTTTTCATCCCCTTAACCATCATGGTAATCACCTATTTTCTAACTATCAAGTCACTCCAGAAAGAAGCTACTTTGTGTTTGAGTGATCTTGGCACTCGGGCCAAATTAGCTTCTTTCAGCTTCCTTCCCCAGAGTTCCCTGTCTTCAGAAAAGCTCTTCCAGCGGTCGATCCACAGGGAGCCAGGGTCCTATGGCAGGAGGACTATGCAGTCCATCAGCAATGAGCAGAAAGCCTGCAAGGTGCTGGGCATCGTCTTCTTTCTGTTTGTGGTGATGTGGTGCCCCTTCTTCATCACGAACATAATGGCCGTCATCTGCAAAGAGTCCTGCAATGAGGACGTCATCGGGGCCCTGCTCAATGTGTTTGTTTGGATCGGTTACCTCTCCTCAGCAGTGAACCCACTGGTGTACACACTGTTCAACAAGACCTACAGGTCAGCCTTTTCGCGGTATATTCAGTGTCAGTACAAGGAAAATAAAAAACCATTGCAGTTAATTTTAGTGAACACTATCCCAGCCTTGGCCTACAAATCTAGTCAACTCCAAAAGGAACATAAAAAGAGTTCAAAGAAAGATGCCAAGACAACAGGGAACGACTGCACTATGGTTCCTCTAGGAAAACAAAATTCAGAAGATGCTCCTACAGACAATATCAACACAGTGAATGAAAAGGTTAGCTGTGTGTGAGAGACCAGCTGCCATGGCAACCGTGGAGGACCCACAGAACAGATTTGCACCTATCTGGACAAAAGGAAAGAAAAGATAATAGGAGACTGGAAAAAATTAGGCGGGTCTAATAGAACCAACAACAATATCTACATGCCTCATTTTATTCAGTTAGTTAAAAGCAGGGTTAAATGCCACAAAATGTGCACTTCAAAAATGTTCTGACAGCATTTCAGCTGTGAGCTTTATGATGCTTATTTTTAACATTGTAAATGATATGTCTTTAAAGTAATTAGCTTTTATTGTGTAATTATAATGAGGACACAAATCTAAATTAACTTCTATTTTCAAGTGAAAACCTTGCTACTATGCTGTTAATTGATGGCATGAGTTGGTTACCTACTGCTGTAAATAGAAATAGCTATAAACAGTGAAAAGTTGATTGAATAGCATAGCTTCTTAAAGAACAATTCTCTTTAAAACTTACCATGATACGTATTTGGAACAATAAAAAAATAAGGCACTAAGAACAGTGTTATGAAGTCAGTATTGCTAAGATAATTAAATGAAATACTTGACAACGTTTTCATAGTTGCCATTTTGATATACTCACAAAGTTGCTGGCATTTGCTGCATTTCAGGTTAATTCTTCTCAGAAGTGAAAAAGATTTTAATGTTATTTCATAAATATTGCTGCTTTCTCTTCTACTACCTGTGCTTTACTCTGAATTTAAAATATGGTCTTTAGTGTTTGTTCTACTAGCTATCCTATCAAAAGGATAATTTAATGTTACCTAATACATTCCTAGCAATTGCTTCTCCTAAACGGCACCATAGAGGTGTTTGGTAATTTGCTCTTTATGACGGCATCATGCACACTCTCTTAGCGCAGTAAGCAGTATTGATGTGACTGTGTCAGGACTGAGGAATAAACTCGGGCTTTTGGCTACTGACAGCAATAGGGTCTTAGGACATCTCTGTAAAATGCAGGTGACCCTCCTATGGGCACCCATCAATCAGGTAAATTGATGCTCTCAGAGCAATCAATCTATATTCTTTACTGTTCGGCTTTGGTTTCACAATCATCTTCTGAGTGTATACTATCTATGAGGAAATGTCCTAGGTACTAAAGATATAAAAATAATTAAAATAAGATCTTTGCCTTTAAAGGAAATGACCTAATTGGACTGGTCCTTGTCAAAAATATTAACAGACTTATTTTGAGAATCAATTCAATTTATTTATTTCTTACTGGTTCAGAAAGTGGTTTGTTTCTACTGAGGGTAGTTTTCTCAATAGGTTTCCTGATGAACATTAACAAAGCACAGGACGGGGAAAATATCACTTGAGGTCAAAATTTACAATTAGTTTAAAACTGGGTACTTCAACCTGGATCCAACCTATGACTACCAAAGTTTTGAGGAAATTTTTTGTTCTATGTCCCTAAAGACTACCCACTGACATTGTACTCCCCAATTTTTCTTTAAAAAAAAAGCAGTAATATAATATTTTCTATTGAATGAGAAATCGTTTTTTGCTCTAAGCCATTTGAAAAATATATAGATTTAAAAACTAAAGAACATGGGAGGTGCCATTGTATAATTTGGAAATGCATTAGGGCTATCCTAATTATGTCCTTATAGATACAATGAAAGGTGTTTAGTTTAAAGGTAGAATTTATAGCAAATCACTAGTATAAAGGCTGCATTTGATCTGAACTACTTTAAAGATTATACCATACTAACTAATAAAAATACAAGTGTTAAAAAGTCTCTGCTCTTATGCATTTTGCCTTAGTTTATAACTCTGCACATCTCATTATAAGTTAGAGAAAAGATTACAGATTCCACCCATATACTCAATCTTGATAAAAATGAACATAAATACTGCCTGACAGATGTCTTTTGAGTACATATATGTTACAAATGTGTGTGTTTTTCTCTCCATAAGTATCTATTCAGGTATATATTATAGACAAATGTGCATCTGTATACATGTACAGACATGTTCCCATGCACTTTATTTGATATTTATATATTTACATGGAGGAAAAGCAAGAGTCATTAATGAAAACACTCAGTATATACATATGTGTGCATGTTTGTATCATGTTGATTCAAATGTGAATTAATGTTCTAATGTTTCTATGACCTTCCATTGCTGTCAAAGCAGATTAAAATGTAACAAGTATAAGTTCTTTAAATAAACTGGAAGTTGAGCTAATTTTATGGGAAGACTATAACACAACTCTATGAGGGTTTGGAAAACAATGGTCCTCCTATATAGTTGATTGACCTTAAATAAAATGGTACCTTCCGGACCTTTGTTTAGTTTGGAGACTTTCTGACTATTAAGGCTTTTTAAATACACCCCTCACCCCAGTGAAACACAGTCCTTGAATGATTAATGGATCTGTAATTAAAGAACTCTGTCCTAGTCAATACTATTAAAATAGAGTGAGCAACCTTATTCTACTTTAAGTTGAAGAGCAGATTCTTCTATACTTAAAGAAAGAAATTAAATACCTTAATTAGGAAAACTCTCAGTTTAAAGCATACTTAATCTCTTAGCCACAGCACTTATCTCATGGTCATTTTTTAAAGCGCTACTGTAGCCAAATGGAACTAAGTTACTGTACTGCTTTTGGCAAAGGGTGCTTCTCCTATTAGTGCATCAATGAAACATATTTATAAAGTTTTTAAGTTATTCTGTGCCATATGTAACAAAAAGTTAAGATTATTTTATGTAATGATTTTAATCAAGTCTATTCTAAAAGATTTCAAGATAGAATGAATAATTGTAAATAAAGCATACTCAAAAATAAATGTAATTTTGTGAGTTCATAGTTGTGTCTACTGAAGATATTTGCTCAAAACCTTCCAGGCTTGGAATCCAAGTACCATTGAAATACTTTGAGAGCACAAAGCCTGTGTTTCTGGGGCTCAATCACAGAGATAGGACCCACCTGGCTGTTACATTTATGGTCATGGTCCAGTTTCCAGATACCATCAGCAGACAAATGTTCCATTGTTGATCACTATGTCTGGATCCACATAGCCTAGGAACATAGATAACCAGCTGTTGCTGTACTCCAAACACATGCACACAGGTACGTGTGGATACACTTGTACAGGTGTGCCCCAAGACATGCACACACACACACACACACACACACACACACACACATATTTTCACAGGAGCTAGTTTCAGGAATTAAAGTAAATTAAGGAGACACTTTATCATTGAATAAGCTGAAAGTTGCCCTAATTCATCATTTAACCTTTAAATATAGGAGAATTCTATGAAATAGGAACAGTAGGTGTCTTTTCCAGGTGTTTATTGCTCTATGTATTAAGTACCTGCCACATCCAGGCATTAAACTGATTGCTTTGCTTGCTTCACTTGATGGAATCCTCACAACAAGTTTACACGGTAGGTATTATTATTTCCTCTTTTTCATAGATGAAGAAACTGAGATTCAGAGCAGTTAGTAACATGCCCAAGGTCACAAAGCTGGCAAGAAAAGTGGCAAGTTCAAGCCTGGGTTACCTGGCTCTGAAGCATAGTTTTCCCTACTCAAACTGGGACAGGAGAAAGAGGACACTGGGTTCAGAACCAAAAGATGCAAGTCCCCAACTTAGCTTTCCTATTCACTGGTTATATAAACTTGGACAAGTCACTTAATAACTCTGTGCCTCAATTTTATTGTCACTAAAATGGAGCTACTAGAACCTGTCCAGGCAACCTGACAAAGTCACTTAAATGAGATCATGGCTGTGGCTGCCGTTTATAACTCTATAAATGTTATGAATGTATTGTTACTAAAAAGAAAAAACCCAAAGCATCTATGTATTATTAGCCGCCAGGGCAGATTCTAGACAAAATTATGAGATAGGCAATATTGTTATTCAACAGCTTCTACTATTCTCTCTGTAAATGCTTCTCATTTTAAAAAACATTTGCTTCTGCTTTGTCCTGACCATGATGCAATTCCCTTTCTCGGCATTCTTTTCTTGTACCTCCATCAAAACTTACTGATTTTATGTCCCGTTCCCTCAGGTTTCTCCTCTCTGCTAGAGCATTAATAAGTAATTCAAGCTGATAAACCATTGTCTATGACTGAGATCCCTGTAGCTGTTCACTATAATGATAATCCAAAAGGCAAAAACTAAAGGCAAAAATTTTAGGCACCAGGAAAACAAGTGAGAAATAAATTTGTACACAAGAAATGTTCTGGTACTGTTCAAATAATCCACAGAAAAACAAGCACCTTCAGACACTACATAACTTATATAAACTTTTAGAATTTAGCATTGAATTTTAATTTACAATAATAATGATTTTAAAAGAAACACCTGTGGATTCTATTCAAAACTGAGAATATTAATAATATTACTAAGCTCTTTCTCAAGTTTTATAGTCAATGGTATTTGCCCTAGTAAATATGCCATAAGACAAAACTTCTTTGTTAATTTATTATTTTCGCAGGTGCCTTACAAAAACAAATGGTTTCCCTGTTTTCCCTTAATGGTATACACACCGATCCTAGCTCTGATCTACCTTTTTGATATTTATCATCAGTATGTCCACGTGAGCCAACACATTCTGGGGAGTTTTCACACCCAGATGGAGCCTCAGGATTTGCTGGGACCCCATTCATTGCAGCAGAAGACTGAGGCAGGAAACCTGGGTGTCGTCGGCTGCCACTGTCTTACTTTGGACAAGTCAAAGCCTCTTCTCCCTCCAGTGTATAATAAAGGATGTAAAGTCAGTGATCTTTTCAGGGAGTCTCTTCTCAGTCTATGTTTCTCTGAATGCTAAGGAATCCAGTCAAGCTTTTTTTTTTAATCCTCACCTGAGAATATTTTTTCCATTGCTTTTCAGAGAGAGTGGAAGGGAGAGAGGGGGGGGGAGTGTGAGAGAGAGAGAAAGAGAGAAACATCAATGTGAGAGAGACATATTGATTGGTTGCCTCCTGCACACACCCCAACTGGGGCAGGAGATTGTAACTGAGGTACATGCCCTTGGCCGGAATCGAACCCAGGACCCTTCAGTCCGAGGGCCAATGCTCTAACACTGAGTCAAACCAGCTAGGGCTCCCGTTAAGTTTTTGATGAACCAAGGCACAGTTTCATCTGGAAAGAATATTCTGGAACTCACAACTCTCATATTCCCTTAAATTCTTTAGATGAATCTCAAATAAATGACAGCTTTCACTTTTACATGGGAATCTTATGAGAAAAATAAAATTGTTAATGACCTAAGGAGTTTCTAAGATATGAGACCAGGAGTCAGATATCAACATAAATGATTCCTAATATAGCATTTTTCTCACAGTTGGCCTCTCTTCTGCACTGTTTAGCTGCTATGAGATATTGGGTTGCTCTTCTGAACCACCCCCAGGCTTTCTGAAGAACAAGTGCTCTCAATATTATCTGAACTCAAGTGCCTTGAAGCATTAAAATTTACGAGCACAAATAGATTTAGAATTTATCTAAGATGTTTGTTGGTGCAGAGAAGATCTCTTTTTTAGAGCCAGATGTTTGTTGAAAGTGAACCAAGACCATTTAAGTTTTTATTTTTAATTAGGATTATGAGATCTTAAAAGGGTTTTTATTCTGGCTTCTGGAAAACAGCACAATTTGTACTTCCTGTCCTAAATTTATTTCAGATATTTAAGGGTAATAGTATGCCATTATTTAGATGATCTTGTTTTATTTGGGGTGACCAAGTGCAGAGCCGAGATGCAAATCTGGTTACAGGCCATTTATGTGTGAAGTTACCCAAGGAAGCAGACAGAATTAGGGAAGAAGTTTAAAGTCTATTTAAGGGATGGAATCAAGGGTACTGCAGACAGTTAGGGCTCAATTACATTAGTAGTAGGAGGTGACTTGGGACTCTTCACCACATAGGCAACTAAAATCAAGGTTGGGCCAAAAGCAATTGTTTGAGATCTTGTATGAATGCTTCACCCAGTTGGTGATTAATTGTGGTCTCAAAACTCAATATGCCTCCTCAATAGAAAGTGATATTATAATGGTTAGTAATAATTTTTAAATAAACATTCATTTATATTATACAATCACATCTAAACTTATTCCTGAGACCCTATGACCAGCACACACATTTCATGTAGAGTCAAACTCAGAAGCATTTAAGCATTTAAACTCATTTTAAGAACTCAAAAGTATGCTACAGATAATTCCTTCCAGCCCTGCTAAGATAGCTGTGGTAGCCATTAAACTCAGAACCATCCAATCTATCTTTCTTACTATAAGACAAAAAGCAGAAGGAATGTAAAAGAAAGATACTGATGTCAATATTTATTTACATTTTACCAACTATTCTGTGCTAAAGGCTTTAACATATATAACCACAATAATGTCTATTTACATCTCAGTATAACTAATGAGAAAACTGATTCTCAAAGAGAAACTTGCCCAATTTCATCACACTTTCATTGTTAAACTGTTTAACAGTCATACAAATTCAGGTGCAGATCTGTATGACTGTTCAACTTTTACTGTTTCCTGTTTCCACTATGTCAAAGATAAGAAAACATTTTCTATGAAGGGTAAATAGTATATATTTTAGGTTTTGTGGACCATGCTCTGTCACAACTCTGATGTTGTAATATGAAAGCAGCCATAGGCAATAAGCAAATGAGAGGATGCGGCTGTCTTCCAATAAAACCTGTATTTACAAGAAACAGGTTGTGGGCCAGATTTGGCGCATGGGCCATAATTAGCCAATCTCTAGACTATGCCATCTAACAAGAACAATGATAATAACTACAACAACTACAACAACATGCATGACTATTGCCATCACAACTATTTATATGAGCCCTTATTGTGTTAGGTACTTTAACATATCACTTCACTTAATCTTTACAAAATCAACACTACATTCTTCCTATTATTATCATCTCCCTTGTATATAAGGAAACCGGAAATTAAGTGGCATGCCCAAGCTCACACATAGTAAGTGGTAGAGCTGGGTTTTAAATCAACATCCATATTCTCAGCTATTTGCTCTGTTTCTTCCCTTACCCAGAAATGCAAGAGCACACCTCCATCATGTCTCCATTGTGTCTGAGGCTGCATTGTCTGAGTTAAACAGAACTCTAAACTTGTGAATGTACAATTTCTCCTAAAGTCCCTAACTTGTAAATTAGACTTTGCTGAATAAACAGAATGTCAAGCCATAAGTATAGCTCACCATCAACATGATCAATTCTCTATATAAAGTATCATTCCTGATCTTACAGGATATAACAATGCTACATTGACTGCTCCCTCTTCTCTTGGCTCATCTTCATGCCCAGAGAATGCAACATTAAGTTCCTCTTAAATGAAGGGAAAAAGTAATAAACTCTATGTCTTTCATACCAGTAGAATTATAGTCAAAAATAAAGTTTTGATATATCTTTTCTATGTCTTGCACTAATGAATAAAAGAATAAATTTGAGCTGAGAAAAAAAATACTACTTAAAATGAATGTTAGATGTGCTGGTTATTTGGACAATTTCCCTCAAGTTCCTTCAGAGAATATGAGGTTTAATTGTCGGGATACACATAGCAATGAGTAAGCAGGAATCACTAACATCAAATAAGGCTCACAGAAGTCCAGAAGGAAGACCACAAGCAGTCACACCAAATCTAAGGCTACCTGAGGTTACACAGGCACAGGTTCCTCCAGTTTCTTCAGAGGGCTTGATTACCATGGGACTCAGCTACTCTTTCTCTCAGCCTGTTCCCTGTGCCTCTTTTACTCCCCCTACTCCTATCATTTGGCTTCCTGGCAGCTCCTACTTACTTTTAACATCATCTTTCATGGTCCC